GCTATCTCAACTCAAAACTAATGTTAAGGTGGGATGGTCCCTTTAAGTAAACCCACGCTGATATTCCATATAAGATCCGGCCATACTCGTGAACCGGTGCCAGCGACGCTGACCGCCAAAATGACAGAATGCGAAACTGAGCCCACTCATGAGTGAAATTTACGTCCTTTGATGGCGCAAGAAAGAAAATGAAACATACGAAAAGCTTTTCTAGGACTTTTGTTCGATCTGAAAGGTGGGGCCAAAAGATAGTATGGCCCCACCTTTCAGCACCAAAGGGGGGGCCATGGCCCCCGTGGCCCCCCCCTGCGACCGCCAGTGCGGCGTTTACACGGGGATCCGTTTTGGTATTTCAAAACAGCCCAACCAAGGTTAAAGGGACACTCCCACCTTAACATTAGTTTTGAGTTGAGATAGCCAAATTGGTGGCCATGGCCTGCAAATACCGGTTTGGGCACTCATAACATCGAAAAATGCTTTAATTCGAAGATATGGAATTTCAAACTTGCAGTTTTCGGATTCTAAGGGGCTAATGCATTGGAATGCCCCCTTAGAATTTGTGACGTCAGCGGAGATCTAAAGATTTTTAAATCTTAGACTAAAACCGTCGTTAACACGTGGTGGTATACGCTGCTTTGCGCGCAACGTCTGCCGCACTTTAAGGCTGCCAAATTATTGCTTCCAAATAAAGTCGCTAGTAACAGGGGAGATCCCAAAAAGTAAATAAAAGTAAAAGCCTAATATCTTGAAAACCAGTGAATATTTTTCGGTGAAATTTGGTAGATATTCGTTTTCGCTCTTTCTGAACCAAGGGACATCACTTTCATGCCAATTCATTAACTTTTTTGAAGGTGGGAGGGTCCCTTTAATGCCACGGCGGCGCCAGTAACCAAAAGACGAACTATGTAACAAATCGCCGAGTGCTGGAACATTGTATTGTGCTAACAGTCATAACAGCAAAGTGATAATGGTTTGCTTCTCAACGCCACCTTCATTGCGCCTTAGCTCTGAGCGCCGTCGAGCCTTCCTTATACATAGCACCCAGCTGGGTGACACCCTGCACATTAGCCTCGTAGCAGGGCAGCTGTTTGATCTTGTCCAGCCAGGCGCGCACCTTGGGCACGCCGGAGAGGTCGAGGCCCATAGCCTCTGCCGTGGACACGTTGGCCACAATGGCCAGGTCGGCCAGGGTCACGTGGTCGCCGGCGGCGTACTCGGATTTGGCCAACATCGCCTCGAAGATGTTTATAAGATCGAGCAGCGCCGGGATGGCGGCGTCCGAACGAACGATGTCGCCATCGTACTTGAGCGGTTTCTGAAACGGAACGGAAGACGCTTATAACTAAATTATAGTGTGAATTTAACTTCCTGGCAAAGTACAGAGAAAACAATATAGCTGCCTGAATTTCACAGGCCCACTGAAGGCCTATGTCCCACCCATAGGCGGCGGAACGGGGAGGGCACCGGGGCACTGTGCCCCCTTTGGTTTTGGCATTTTAACATTAGCACTATGGGCGTTGCATGGAAAGAATGGGACCAAAAGTCGGCAGTGCCCCCCCCCCCCTCGTTCCGCCGCTACTGGTACCACCACCAGTGTTAAGACATGGACCCAGACTGCAAGTGCAGAGGAGCGTACGAGACCGTTTATTATCGCTGGGCCCAAATTATAAGATTTTGCCAACGATCTTCGCATGGACAAAACGGAAGTGGCAGGTGCCTTTATTGCAATGGATGAGTGTATCAGTGAAAAAATGAATGAACGAATATTAATGAATGAATGGATGGATGAACAGACTGATGAATGATATGAAAAATATGTGTAGATTTAAATGAATGAACGAGTGAATGAGTAAACGGACGCATCCGAATAAATCAATTTCCGAATGTTTTCCTTATCAAAACTTTTAACTCCTTGTCATTTAAAGCTGAGTTAAATGGTCTACAGCAGAATTACGGATAAGACAATCAAATGCACACCTCGACTGAGCCAACAGACATGTGATACGATGTAAGCGGCTTTAACAGAGTTCCACATACCAAAATGTGCATCAGGGCGGTGTTGAGTCCGACATCGAAGAAGAGTCGGCTGTCGACCAGGGCGCGTGCCTTCGGGTCCTTCGGGTAGAGGTCGCTGTCCGGGGCGTACTTGTTCACCAGGTAGGTGCTGATGGCTCGGCTGTAAACATACCGATACAGGGGTGCGGCTGAAACAACACTCGGGTGGATAACGTTTGGCAGTTTGATGGACGGCGAGAGACGTCCGAACGGAAACACAGCATCACGCAAAACGCCACTTCTCGTCACCGGCTGGCGATGAAAAGGAAAGGCACTAGACTCCCGGATATGTGACCTGTCAGACGTCCGTATCCCATGTCACGATAACGCCCCACCTGCCACACTACCGTCTATTCACATCTGTCGAAGTGGAGTTTGCTGTGATTAGAACATTTCGGTGAAGACCATTTAATGCTCATATCCGTGTCACACTACCGTACCCGTGGTGCCACTCCACCGTCCCATTACTGTATGCCTGGCCTATTCAAATACATTAGCAAGAGGGGTGTGGTAATAACTGGTGTAAGCAAATTGACCACGGTCAAAAATGCATTACCAGAATGCACTTAAGCCAACATTTTGGGATGGTCTCGTTCCTAAGTCGGCTAAGAGCTTCGGTCCAGAAAATAAATTTATCGTTGGCATACAGTAAAATACATACCAAACTCGGCCGGTGATAAATTTTCAAGACCTCAGTCCTTACTGATTTTTGAACTCGGCCTTCGGCCTCGTTCAAAAATCCAGTAAGGACCTCGGTCTTGAAAATTTATTTACACCGGCCTCGTTCAGTATTATATATTACCACCCTGACATTAGACAGACCCCAATCACCCCACTGTACCCCAGATCAGACCACCATATTCCCGATCACCCCACCGTACCTTTCCGCCAGGTACAGGTCGCCGTCCTCCAGAAGTGGTACCGTGTGCTGCGGGTTCTTCTCCAGGTACTCGGGAGTACGCGTGTCCCCGGCCTTGGTGTCAATCTGCTTCAGCTCGTACTCGAGTCCGAGAGCCTTGAGCGTGATGAACACCCCCCGGCACGGCGGGCTGGCCTCGAAGGCGAACACAGTCAGTCCCATGTCTTCTGCCGTCCAGCCGGTGCGCTGCTGTCTGAGCTTCCTCCGTCGCCGCGCGCTGTCGTGTGGTGCCGTGAAGCGCTCCCGGGCGGTCCCGCAGCTGGGTCAGACCCAGCCCCGTGCGGCGACCTCCAAAAACAGTCCGCCTGTCGTCGAGTGGGGCGGTGTTTGTTTAATGACACCACACTCGAGTATGCAGCTCGCTATCAGGAGGCCTCATGATCATGCATCGAGGAAATGGTAGGACCTTTACAGTGTCCGATATCTTGATTGATTGCCTTGTTGAGACCACACAAAAATATGCAAATGGCAATTGGTCATATCCGACCGCAATTACATCGATAAAAGGCCACGGGTAATGGTCACTAAACAAATCATTAGCTGCCTGCTGCCTCACTGATGTAGAAACGATGCCTCTTTATTACGCCCCAGGCTACATATTGAATAGGTATCAAAGATGTCTACTGACGAATGGAAAATAAATGGATCGATATTTGACCGACATCTCAGTGTTACAAACAATACAATCCGAGGAGTGACTTGTGCCATTCCAGCCTCACCTCAGGGCTCACTAGAACACGCATCCACCAAACCGGCAGCTACACATGGCAAAAGCCTTTATACGGCCGACAGAACTTATCAGTAATCACCTCATAAATGACGGATCACCTGAACCAATCACCTGCGTCCAACTCACCTGAACCTACACTATAAGCCCGATCACCGAACGTCTGCCCACCAGCGACCTTTGAGTTCGACTACAGCGCGAGGAGTGGCGCGTGCGACCCGTGCGACCCGCCCGGGCTGTTTTGCCAGTCATGGTTCCCGTCGCCGGCGTCGCTGATGGGAGTTCTATAGCCTTGGATGGCACGGTGCCGGGATAGGTCAGTCCCGACTCCCAAGGACAGCTAGATGGGGAGGCTTGCGTGTGCCCGTGGCTGACCCGAGAAGATGGGCCACCGTTTTGGTGATGTTCTTACCCTGGGATCCGTGGGCCGTCACATTACGAATATGGAGGGACGACCGCGACATTTGGGCCCTTCCCACGGTTTTAGAGATGCGGCCGGTAGCTATCTACTACTACTGCTGCCGGGAAATGATATGCCATCACTTCCTTGAAGATATCTGTGTGGCACCGTGCGAGATTCATCCCCGGCTTCACGGCCCCGCCCTCACAGCCACTGCATTTGAGCTCGGTTCCATAGTCTGATAATTTCCATCAGAAATCAGATTCTACATACAACTGTAAGGGACGAGCGATCAATTTGTGAAGTGTGTACCTACTGCTAAATTAAATCGACTTATGTATTGTATCCATCAGTTATCATGTCTTGCACATTTCTGCAGCGATGGCGAAAGATGTAAATCTCACATCACCGTCACTGCTACTGCATAGGTCAATCTGAGCGTTGCACAATAAAGTATTGCTGGTATGTAGTGGCAGAACAGCCGGGTCATCTCCGTCAAGACCTCCCGGATCCAACTCATGGGTGTTATCCACGGAAACCGCTCATGTGATATGCAATAAGCATCGCGGAGGCGGCTGGGTTCACGGACTCTGCTGCCATGGGGGGCAGCTAAATCCTGGCTAGACGAGTCAAATGTCTCACAATGACCCCGGGCCGGCCTAACCACGCGAGTACAGTTCGAGGTGCTGTGGGGCGAGAGACGGGTTAAGTGACGGATTTGGATGTTAGTCAACCTGTGTTCATTCAAGCCTTGATATTGTGGTGCGAGTCGCCAGGTTCGATTTATTATCTGGGTTTGAGTTTCTGATTGGCATGCAATTCTTTTCACTGCTTCATTCGATTTTAACCAAAATATGTTCTCGTGATACTGTAAAACTAATAGGTGCATATAAACAATCTTAATATTTGCGCATTTATTGAAGCACATTGCGCAAAAAGTACAAAAAGCCATCACAATCTTCCACTTATCTTGCCAAAAATAAATATTCCTTAGCACTAACAATGCACCTCCCACCTAAAACAAGTTTCCAGCGCACACAAAGACACAAACGGTCACGGAACACGTCGTTGTACGTCCACCAAACACAGAGATTCCGAACACGCGGTGACACAAACACGACAGTGAGAGCGGACGGACCATGGCGGAAACTGTGCTAGCAGTGCTTTACTTCTTTGGCAGAATGAATAGAAATGCCCGAAAGATGCGTCTGAAAAAGAAACAAAATAAGAACACAAGCGAACACGCCACACGGAATTGTGCACTCTTATCAGGTTATCAGTAAAAAGAACCCCAAAAATAGCAACAGAAACAAATAAAACTTCTGTACAGACGAGAGCTGGAGTTAAACATTAAAATCCTGCGGAAGCCCGCGAAGGTCAAGTGTCCCTCGCGGTTGATTATCAATGGCAAGCAACAACGTGCGACACTGCGAAGGAATCGGCAAATAATCAAGCAGACTATGAGTAGATTAATGATGGTTGATCGAAATGGCACCATCAGTGTTATAGAGGACTGGTTCCCTTAATCCAAGTTCCATGCAAAAAAACCAGTGGACCCATTTGTGACACACGACACAAGAAATCAGACCCTTATTAGTCCACAGGAATATTGCAAAGTTGTGCACTTGGGCAGGCTACGCTGGCGTTGAATATTCCTCTAGGTAGGAACAGATACCTTCAGCACTTATAAGGGACTTTTGTGAGCAGCAGAAGGTAGCGAAGTACGCAAAAAGCCAGAAGCGATAAAGGCAAATGTTGAGTTCATAGGCAACTAATAGGGTAAAAAAGCATAACAATCTATTATAACAAGCAGATCGGCTAACAAGAAGCAAAAAGCGCCTACGAAGGAATCAGCGGCCTGGATTCCTCGCAGCCACCTGGAAGCAAGCAACAGATCTAGCGATAAAGCCAGAAAGCACACAAGTCCACAGCAAATGTCCCAGGGGTTGGCATTACCTACCCCAAGCCGCCCCAGCACCGTCCGCGTCCATTGGAGCACCCGCCAGCCACTCTATCGTTCGGGCCACCGCCCCAGCGCTAATATGACAGCGCCCCATGAGTATACTCGACGTGCAGCGGTCGACAGTCCAAATTATTACAGCTAACTGCACATGATACCCTCCAAACAGCGGCTCCAAGGCTACAGGGAAAAACAATTTAACAACCTAACAATAAGTTGAGCGGTCGAAGGCAGACTCGAAACTATCTCATAGTTATCCTGTCCCGAAAGTCGTGATAGCGACGAAACGCAAAGTGCCTTCCTCTGATTAGAGCGACACCTAGTCGCAGCTGAACGTAACGAGGAAAGACACATTTGGCGCTGGGTGCAAAGCCACCACCTACCGGTCAATGTACAGATATAATACAAACATTGGACATTATATGGTCCTCTCTTCCATTATCGGTAGGCGATTTCAGAAACGGCAGTCACTAGCCTCAACATTTCGAGTTCCAACACTTTTCCCTGTGGTACCGAATCCTGGCGGTCTAGAATAGAATCGACTAGATTGACAGGAAACATTCTTCTTGTTACCTTTTCATAACCCACAGTAACGTAAGCCTCTCAGTGAAAAATACTGATAAAACTTGTCAACCATGACTCAATATAACGACGCGCGTTGGATACGCGTTTTGAAGGTTTCAACATAACTAACGGTGGTTTATAGTTTATACGTCACCAACAAACTGAAGGATGAAATTTGAGAATGGCCCCAAATAATAGTTATAAATATAAATTAAAAAATAAATTACTCATTAGTTAAAACCTACTAACTTGAAGCACGAGATCGAACAAAAAATCTAAATAAATAGAGCCTAATCCGAATCCTGGTACACCAATAAGCCTCCAAAACCATCAAAAACTCCCACAACACTCAAAGTTCAAAATAGCCTCTACCAGAAGCGAGCCACCAGCCGGTCACTTCCCAAACCGAACCCACCAGCCCTGCCACCATGACTGCCCCAAACACCACTCGGCAGACTCGACTCAACACTGCAACTGCTCCCCTGTCAGCACACACCAGACATTCACTCCAAACTACACATTCGGACCATCTCTCACACACTCCAAACACACATATCGGGCGGTAGGAGAGCGCCTGAAGAACAGCCATCGAGTAACCTGTGTGATGACCTGGTGGGCTCACAGGGAACACTCCCCTCAGCACCTGGCGTCTCCTAGCCTGGTGAACCGCGCCGTGGCGTCTCGAGGCCTGGCCGAACTGCAAGCACCGCCCGTCGGGACAGCCCCCACCCGGGGATCATACTTTGGCGACGCCGGCGGCAGGCTGCTGTCCGGCCCGCTTCAGCTGCCGGTGCCGGAACGAGCTGAAGATGCGGAAGAAGATGGCGGCGAACACGATGAATATGCCGATGACGCCCGTCGGAGAGATGGCGTGGTGGTAGAGCAGGCACGAGATCAGGATGGCCAGGCCCTGGAACAGAGACAAACGAGCAATTAAGCAGTTGCTGGATACAATGACGACTGACTGAGCACTTTACACACGTTCATTTTACGATATGAGAACGAACCGCAGCGCGCTGGCACGACAAGAGGCAAAGAACAGCAATCTGCTCTAACAGAGTCTTTCATTATCAAAGTCACAGCATATTTCTGGGGCTGCCGGAAATACACCGATGCACGATGAGTACTCGTAAATACTATCAAGGATCCACATCGACCTCCAACTTTCTAGTCCCCCACAGATCCATCGCTATCCCTCGGATCATCACACGCACCTGCCGCATGGTCATAATGATTGTAAAGACGACGGCTCCGAACTGGGAGATGGTGTAGTAGATGAACATCTGGCCGGCGGCCGAGAACACCGACAGCATCAGACAGTCGGCCAGAAACGTCGGGTACTGGTGGAGAGATAACAAAATAAACTATAAGACAGAACACCGACAGCATCAGACAGTCGGCCAGAAACGTCGGGTACTGGCGGAGAGAACAGGATGGAAAGTCAGGCGGGACACAGAGGCTAGTCATAAGGGACACCGACAGCATCAGTCTACCAGAAACGTCGGGTACTGGCAGGAGCACAGAGCAAAGTGTAAGACAGGACACCGACAGCATCAGGCGGTCTATCAGAAATGTCGGATAGTGGCCGGGCAAAACAATGCGGCCCGTCACACGGGACAGAGCAGCGGCCAGGGTGGCAGTATACTGATAGTGACGGTTCGCTGATTGTCCGCAAATGTTTGCGGGCTCTGTCGAGTTTACACGTAGCAAACGGTATTGAACGTTTTATGCAAAAGTCCCATTATAGGGAGTATCAATCCGAAATCTGCTTATAAATCAGTTGACTGTTTCCGATATTACCTAAATAGATAAATTTGAAACTGAAAGCCAATTATCCACTTTCAGCTGATCATAATTTTGAGTCCCTCTATAACATAACACTCAATTGCGCCCCATAATATTGCCAAAAAAGTCACAATGAGAGAGGGAAAGTGTATTTTTGGTGACTACCGTGTGTAAACTTTTCCCTTTAGAAGCGTGACTGACCGTTGGCCGATACCGGAAACTGTGGCAGACAGCGTGACCAGCCCACTTCTCCTCCACCACGGAGAGACACAATTTACCGGGTGGAGAACAGGTTTTCCAGCTGACCAAGTGTCTCAGGATTGTACTACGAGTCAGATACGATAATTGCACCGTATATGCCTCTGACTGAAACTACTGAAAACTATTCCGTTACAAAAAATAATAATAAATGACGGAAGAGAAAAAACATTCCTTCAGCGGTAGCAGTGCGATACACGCTATAAAATAATATAGCAACAAACAGCACTATATTCTATACATTTACCGGCGGGAAGGGACGAACCCAGTTACACATATTACCTCAAAATTACCCCCTTGCCTGACTGCTTAGGAACTCGCGTAGACGTTCAGCTTTGGATCGTAATCAGCTTTGCCCGTGCGCGGCAGGTGTCGCACCGCGGTGAACACTGTCACTAGCAGCGCAACACTGAACTTCCAGACGCACCTTCATCATGAAGTGGGCGCTGGTGACGAAGCCGCCCTGCTGCAGCAGCGAGACGGTGGTGAAGAGGCAGCTGAAGAGGTTGACGCCGCACATCATCTGCACTGAGGAGACGCTGTACTCCTTGTACAGGGCGTTCTGCCAGTTGGAGGTGAACGAGTCGAACACCATGTAGCCGATCAGGATGATGATTCCGCTGAAGGTGGTCACCGTGCCCTCTGCGGAAGGGCGGGCCAGGGTGAGGTCAGCGTATGGGGAAGGCAGGATGGGTTTATGTCTGGTCAATGTCTGGTGTTAAAGACTTAAAGCGGGGGACGGGTCACTCTCCCCTCTGGGGGAAACATGACCTGGCAGCCTGAGAAAGGGAGGAGTACCCGAGTAGGTGGCCACACTGAAAAAGCGGAGGCGAGGTCGGCGTCAAGGAAGGGTGGGGAGTTCATACTTTGGCCATTCCAGTGCGTGTTTGTGTATGTTTGGAGGCCAAGGAGTCAACATCATTCGTCAGCCGTCACCGCGCCCGAAACCCTGGACCCACCCAGTGTTATTCACTGCCGAGCTGCCAGACTATCCGCGGTGCACCAGAGTTCAGCCCAGAACGTGCTTTTGATCTCTGAATGTTCACTGTGAAACATCGTCATTTCGATCGCATCGTGACGCCGAAACAGTCACATTTAAGGAGGATATCGGGCCAGTCTCGAATCCCATCAGTACAACGTGTCACTAACATTACCAGTCATATCAGGTAACCACGCAGCCTCATATTCACCGGGATTCGATGAAAAACAAACAGGAATGTTGTACATATAAAAAAGAGCGAAGGTCTGCAATCAGTGATCAAACACGGGATTCGGGAAATAATCAACATAGGGTTGCTGATGTGCTAAGGTAAGTGGAAAAGCACCAGAGTTTAGCGCCCAGAACATGACACCCAAAAACCTAAACGCAGCAAATCTCAGTTTGAGTTATACATGAACTACCAATAGGTAGATACATGTGGGAAGGTGCAGGCATCGTCATTAAGTACTCGCTGGGGCGGGCCCAACTAGCTAGGTCATGACAAAATCATGAGGGAGTTGATTTCCAATGCATTCCTAAGCTGCTGTTGTGAGAAAATCGGAGCGACATTGCAGCCTTCACCGGACGGGTAAAACTGTTTGTGCCTCATGCATGGCGATCGTTTCTCGGAAAAGGATACGACTGTGATATAAACCGATTAAGCTTTAGGGGATACACGAACAAATACTCCACATTGTTTATAAAACAGGCATGTCAATAACCGATTGAGCATCGTTGCATTTTGTACTTACTGTTCTTTTCCTCAGTTGCTCCCATTAGGAAGAACGTCATTCCAATAGAAATAAGTATAGCAACAACATATTCGTAATATTCATATTTGTTCTTGCTCACTATTTTACCCATAAGCATCACAGGTATAATCTTCGACGCTTTTGCCAACACCTGCAAACGTAAAAATAACGGTAGAAAACAGCACTCACGATGAGGTATCAAATGTCTTTTAGATTGGCCCCGAAACCGCGCTATATGCCAGACACGAACGAATTTAAAACTTAGTGAGAGCCACGAGAGCTTATGGAGCATCATAGATTTGATGCGACTATCAATTTGCCCTCTCACTCGCATGTCACAATAAAAGAAAGTACAGACCATGAAGACAAAACTATAACGCGCACAAGTAATGAAGTACATACTCGCACATTACTGTCCATATTTAATGTGAGTAGATCACAGGCTGATTAATGATGAACCAGAAATAAATGAGCGCCGTTCTGGTCGCCCTCCCTGAGCTAATACAACGGGCGAGGCCTCACCTGTGTGGGGAAGCTGACAAACTTGAGCGCCTCGTACTGACACCAGCTGGACATGATGTTGGAGAAGCTGCAGTACGAGTACTTGTAGAGCGGCGCGCGGTGACGCTGATGGCGCACCACCGCCAGGTACGCCGCCGACAGCAGCAGCGCGAACACGCGGTTCACAAACACCAGGAACTGCGAGTCGGAGAACCGGCCCCGCTCCGGTGTGCCATTATCGTACTCCTGCCGGCGGTGGGGACGGACGCTGTGCAGGCAGTCGGATACAGTAACCAACGCCGCCCGAGTCGCAGCTGCGACGCGAAAACATGTGAGCGGTACAAATCACATCATCATCTCTCTACTCTTAGTGGCATTCTCTCCTGCCTCGGGTTTCGTTACCCGTTGTCACCCGTACTCCCCAGCACTCACCTTGGTCATGATTTTCTCCTGCAGCACGCCCCAGCTGAGGTAGGATCCGAGCAGACCCACCACGCAGAACACAAGCACCATGGCCTGTCGCAGAGGCGGGTGCTCGCGCGGGCCGCTGGAGGACCCGGAGCCGGCGCCACTGGGCTCCGTGGTGGGCAGTAGGGAGGCGCCGTCCGCCCCGAACACACACGAGCGCACGGCCGCGTCCATACAGCCCCGCTCTCCTGCACGCGGCGGAGGCACGGGACATGAGAGAGGGATCGTGGAGATCGTGTAGTGAAGGATGTTTCCTTCATTAAATGCTGTAGGGTTCAACATCTTTGGCTTATTTGTGAAGTCCTTACTCACTTATTGGCGGAATAGCGAGAAGTATCGCGGCACCCGCGCCCCCTACCTCGGTCAGGTCAAATAGTGAAAAACGACCTGGAAGACCTGGCATGGGTCAAGCTGCTCCATACTAGTGGCTTGAGCTAACCACCTTATTAAAGCTGGAAGGGTAGTTCATCAGCATGGCTGTTAGGCATCAAAGTGCAGGCTGATGGCACTTGTCACAAAAAAGTTATCATGCAAAAGCTTTTGACACAAAGCTTGTAGGGTATTGAGCATCCAGCACCATGTTTCTTTTGCTGAGGACAGGTGTGTCAAATGAACTACAATTTTAACTTAACCCTCGCATGTGTGCGGCGTTTGCCAGCTTCTAATGTGTAGGGGGGGGGGGGGTCGGTTGGACCCCCCCCCCCTTGCCGTTCGGCCCCTGATCGAGCTAGAGCTTCGCGGAAAAAACGAGCGTGTTGCCCGTGACGAGAGGAAGCCGATGATACCCAATTTTAAGGTCCTAGGTCATTGGTTGACCTTCCAGGTCAGGTCAATGACCCAAAGTCGGGAAAATCGGGACCTGTTAGAAAGCCGTAAAGTGTGGCTGCTAAGGGGTTTTTCGGGGTGCTGATCACGAATATCGTGTTAGTTTTGATCACAGATGATGTTTTGAAGCATTTAGACCAGGTCGGGTCAGGTCAGGTCAGGTCAACCAGTAGGCGTCGTGACGGGTATTCGTAGTACGTGTCAACCGCCTCTGACAGCTTCGTAACATGTTACGAAGTCACCAAAACTACTTCGTAAATGTTCAAATGGTTGCTAAATTCGAATTCAGCTCCAAAAACTAGCCTAGAAACATGTAAAACTCGAAAAAGTGACCCGAGGTCAGCCGAGGTCACCAAAGGTCAATGACCTGACCTGACCTTCAGGTGACCTTGACACACACGGGAGTAACATCAAATCACATGTTTGAACGTTTGAAACCACGAAAAGCTTGCAAACACGCGGCTAGTGCGAGCCGACATACGCGAAATCGCGATTCCGGCCAAACATGGTCTCGGAAAAGAGGTCACAGGTCAAAGGTCATTTGGGTCAGGGTCATGAAATTTTCAGGGTAGGTGTCAAATTGATCAATGCGAGGGTACTGAAAGTTTCGTCGCGATCAGCCGCTTTTTACGCGAGTTATTCGCGAAAAACCATGGGGGGGGGGTCCATCCGACCCCCCCCCCCCTACACATGCGAGGGTTAAGAGGTTAACTTGACTTAACCAAGGTCCTGATTGAACCATGAAAAGGTCATATGCATATCAATCTGTTATCAATCAACCTTGCTGACCTGAACCCATCAAAATATCTAAGCCCATTAGCATGTCTCTATGAAAGTCACTACCTATTCAAAAACTGTTTGTGACCTTGCCTGCCATATGAAATGACCCAATGGTCAACATGACCAGATTATTTGACCAGAGAGGTTGGGTCACTGGCACAATTTCATACCTAAGGTAGCATTCAATGGAAGCCTAGGAAACCATGTCTGATAATTTTAGGCATAACTTAAGTCCAAAAAAGGCTCAATGTCACACCCTCCCATTGCCTTGTAACTATGGGGGTGAAAAATGACCTGACATTTGATAGCAGCAGGATTTATAGGGCTAAAAAGTATTCCCAAATCTGAACTCTTGATGTCTGAGCTCAATACATACCTGTCCTATCTTCATAGTTCTTGCTTTTGAAGTACTTGATCAACAGGTAGCCTGGTATGATAATGGAGCTGTATCCAAGCAGGTTGATGAATAGCCTGGTAACCCAAGTGTCGTGAACACTTGACCAGTACAGCTGCTGGGCAGCAGCCGTGGCAGAGTTTGGCTCAGACATTGTCCTGAAATGACACTGTGTTAGAATCTGCCATCTGGGCCCTGTTTCACCGGTGATAGCAGCAAGCTGCTATCACGTTTCGCGAGCTGACGTCATGTCGTGACGCCATACTGTTGTCGTAATGGGTAGTTCCGGCGCACGATTGCCGCGACCTTGGCGGCGGCATTAAGTGACGTATGAGCCTAAAAGTAAGAGTTTACGCAGTCATGATAGTATATATATTTTTGATATATATTTTTTCAATATAATGTATTTAAAAGAAGTTGGGTTTAGGAAAAATTTTGACATTAACTTCGAACATTTAGCTGATGACGTAAAACAATATTGCGGCAATCGTGCGCCAGAATTGCCCCTTACGTCAGCAGTATGACGTCATCACATTACGTCAGCTCGCGCAATTTGATAGTAGCTTGCTGCTATCACCGGTGAAACAGGGCCCTGGTCAGATCACCATGAGCAAAACACAAAGCCCTTTTACAACAAACAGCACTCGTGTCATACTCGTGTCTCCCAAGCGCAAAATCAAAATGAAAGCCTGCATGTTTGTCAGCAAAGGTATTTTTTTTTGTTAGTCAAAATCCAATTGTCCTAACCCAGGAACTTTCCAATAGACCAGGCTGATTAAAAAACGATTTTGATCAGATTGGACGTGGTTTTAATTTGTTGTCCAGCAGGTTCAATTTTGAATCGACTTTTTGTCCCTCGCCTGGATCTGTAGTTTGTGTTACAGTTCAGTTGGGGGAGGTTTGGTCAATGGTTGTCATTTTTAGCACATGCCATTTTTGGCAACCATGTGCTAAAAATGACAACGCTATCAGCTATTTTTAGCAACGATGAAGCCGATTTCACTCCTCAGCGAGGAAATCACGATTTTGGAAATACAAGCACTGATTTTGGAAAAGAAGTGCTGCCACCTGGTGCAAGAAGAAGAAACCAGCTTTAATATGGCCGTTGTTTGTATGGTAGCCCAACGTTGAAGTATACCCTTTTTTGTGGCCCGAAGTTGGAACTTTAAATTGAAGCATCCGAAAATGATCGATATTGATCGAAATCATGATGTTGATGAAAAAAAATAATATGTTAAGTTGAGAGAGGAGGCCATTTTATCCAGATGCGGTGGTTTACTTCTTGAAATTATTTTTGCTTACGATGACTGCCATGTAATGAGGGATAATTAGCAGCCGTCATTAGCAAAAATAATTTCAAGAAGTAAACTACTGCATCTGGATAAAATGGCCTCCTCTCTCAACTAAAAATATTATTTTTTTCATCAACATCATGTTTTCGATCAATATCGATCATTTTCGGATGCTTCAATTTTAAGTTCCAACTTCAGGCCACAAAACAATCTACCATACAAATAACAGGCATATTAAAGCTGGATTCTTCGTCTTGCACCAGGTGGCAGCACTTCTTTTCCAAAATCAGTGTTTATCTTTCCAAAATCTTCATTTCCTCGCTGAGGAGTGAAATCGGCCTCATCGTTGTCAAAAATAGCAGAATCGTTGTCATTTTTAGCACGTGTGACAAAAATAGCACGTGCTAAAAATGACAACGATTGACCAAACCTCCCCCGACTGAGTTACGCCCAGGAATCGAAGACGTTCAGCTCGATCTACATCAGAGTGTTAAAATTTATTATGAACAAAGCGTTCCTATCCCACTCATCCCAATCGCTTACATATAAGAACCCCAGACAATCCCCATACCAGTTGGGGAAACTACGAGGCGAATGTCAAAAAATGGATTGGTCAATAAATGGACTTTTGATGACCATATATGGGCATAAATGCAGCCCCCGCAACTAAGGGTGAAAAACGGTATAACAAGCCGGTACTTGCGGTATCGCGTCCACTTATTGGAGAGGAAAGGCTTCCATTTTTCACTAGGAATTAGTGTGATTTGATTAAATTCGGCGAATTGACTCGAAAATGGCGATAGGAAAACGGCTTTTCTGCAGCATATTTACGTCTGGACAACGAGTTGCGTTGGAGAGGCCGGAAATAGTGGCGATTTCAGGACCGCAAGAATGGACCGTCATTGGAGTGATTCTTTTTTAAACCGTGCACTGTTTTCGGCCGGAATTTAATAGTTACTACAAAATATTTTGTGATTACGTTTCCACCAAGAATGAATGCCATCAGGGCTAAATTTTTAATACTATTGCATTTTGCCAAGAAGCATATAGTGCTGTTATATTGCAGTTTTAGCGCGTTTGTTACAAAATATGAAGCGAATAAGCGTCAGTATAATTCATCAACAGTGCCAGAAGTTAACTTGAGGGGAAGATATGCTAATTGCTCTTGTCCATCCACTAAAATTTATTAATTATTTTGCTTTGTGTATTCCAAAAGGAGAGGGAACTATTTCATTTGTGCCTTCATGTCAGAATTGAAGGTGGATCATTAAATTTTCAACGCAGTTTACAAACAAGCATTTTGATTTGGTCTTTCTCGTTTATAAGCAGTGGCTAAGAAAAGGTTGATCAATCCTGAAGTTCAGTCATCGTACCTCAACTTGGCAGCAAGATCCCCCAAGGACAGAGGATATATTGTATACATGTCCTGTAAATCAAAACAAACAAGCATTTGGTCTTTCTCGTATATAAGCAGTGGCTAAGAAAAGGTTGATCAATCCTGAAGTTCAGTCATCATAATTCATACCTGAACTTGGCAGCAAGATCCCCCAAGGACAGAGGATATATTGTAAACCTGTCCTGTTAATCAAAACATTTTTGTGCCTACAAAGGCTTAAGTTATCTGTGGTGTGTTCGGAGTTAGACTATATGGCCGGTTTTGTTGTATGTTTATGTGGAGATTAAATATAACTGTGACTCTGTGCTTGTTTTTATACTTACAGTCAAACAGGGAACAGCACATTCACATAACATACTCACCTAGCACCTAACTCATAGCTGTACCCTGCAGGATCTGTACTTGTTCATGTCTCGAGCATTAACAAAGCATTAAAGTAGCTTAGTAATCATTTCCCACATTTTCTGAGCATCTAACATGACATACAGCAGTGCAGAGCAGCTTCAGAGAAAAAAACACTTTAAATGCACAGACTCACACCAGCCACCCAATGAGCCAGTTCCTCAGTTGACTGTTTCCCTGGACGCAGCTTGGCAATGTGAGCTAACTTTTGGCAAGTTGAAGGTTAGCAGGTAAGATTGAGTTAGGGCGAGTACCTACCTATAACTGGGTGCTACTGCCATGCAGGTCTTGGGTAGGCTGCAAATATGTGTGATGATTGAGGTTAGGTCAGCTGTCAGGTTAGTCAGGTTCAGGTATGCTCATTGCTCAGGTCACATTTTTATGGACATTTGGCAAATTAAAAAACTAACAATCTAATCTAAGCTAACCCGACTAAACATACACTACTGACTATAGGAACTGAGCACCTACCTACTTGTGCCTACATCTCATACCATGTCAAAGTAGAGTTCCTTGGTGGAAGATGACCCTCAGTACTTTTTATCCCAGCCCTGTGAAGAAAGCTAATACCTGCTTCTAAGCTCTGAGTCACTGCCGACCATCCACAGGAAGAAACGCTGAGACTGAGAGCTTTGCCATTGTATATTGGACCAATAATGACTATCACGAATGACTATGAACACATAATATGATCACATCGTTGCATGGATTGTCACATTGACAATTTTACTACAATCCTTTTTTCAAGAAATACAGTGATGATGATTAACATCAAAAATCAAAATAAACATAAAGTGGATTTAGTGATCCAAGCTTTCTACTCCAGTAGCAACGGAATGATCGCATGTTTCATTTGCCAGACACTGAGTACCTGATGCACATTACAATCTGCATAGCATCTAAGCATAGTAAAACTGCCCAAGTCCATTCATTCTAGATTTTAACTTGATAGTTAGCACTAATTTATCTTGCTGTTGTAAGTTATCATTCAATATTCATACCAATACATCAATATGCGCTCATCAGTCAACATTTTCTGGCATGATCCTGCTCAGCGTGCTCTTCAGTATTGCTCCAAGGTCTGCAATATTGTAGCTTGTTTTTGGACAATAAGCTCTTTTAATTTTACTTTTTCTTGCTGATATATGAGCCCGATCACCTTGCGTTTATCAACCAAAATTTAATAACTTGTTCAACTTGATATTGATATTGCTCAGTAGTCAGGACCTCTGTCAGCCTCCTGGGTACTTCAGATTGTTTTCAGTCAACATGCTTCTTAAATATGATATAAGTCAATCTTAAGGGATTCAAAACATCCAACAAAACGACGTACAAGAGCAAGAAAACCACCAGATAAACTAAAAATGGCCTTGGAACAGAGCCAAGTGGTGCTCCATTTGTTTGTTTACAATGATTGTAGTGCTGATGTATTTTTAGGACTCTGAACGTCGGCTTATAAAAAAAAATGAAACGTTTTTACAAAAGTTGTAAGGCAAGTAATATTTATCTGGAAGAACTAAAATATTCAAAAGCCAAACACTATGAAATACATGAATCAGAACGAAAAAGTAACCCAAAAATCCAGCCTAATCACCGGCTCCTAAAACTGCAACACAATCAGCACTTTTCCCCGCAACTCGTTGTCCAGACGTAAATATGCTTTTCTGCAGGTTCTGGGCGTCACAATCAGCTGGCCATTCAATAAATGGATTGGTTTTATGAATGAAAATTGTTAAAAGATTTAATTTTTTACAATAAACAGAAATATTTAATTCTTAAATAATAACTTAACTACAATTAGAAAAACCATAAACAAAATAATAAAAATAATGGCATTTTTTAACCACAGTACTGCTTACATTTCTTGGCGCGTCTGTTTCAATCCGCCATATTTGCCAATCACGGTTTGACATTGCGTTGTAACTCTGCGATTTAGAGCCGCCAGTTAAAGGAAATAGTTCACTTTTAACATGGGGTTTTGAACTGGAATAGCAGTTTCGTAGCTTGAGCTGAGACTAGCACAAATCAGGAGCTTTTACGGCTCAATGATCACCCTAGACGAAGATATTCCATTTCTCGTTCCAAAAAGAGTGCCTTGCAGAGGAATGTGTGCCTTGCACAGGAATGCAGCCACGTCATCGTCAGCCAATCAGCATGCTGCTTACAGCCAATGCAGTATGCGTAGGTTTGAACTACGCGATATGATTGGTCAACGCGTAATAAGCTTCCGCGTCAAACATTATTTTACGTAGAATATAGTTCGTTCTATATTAAAATATAGAAAAAAATTGTTTTTACAAAAAGGTTTTATTTTATTTGATGATCATTTTGAGCATAAAAAATCATAAATCAATAGCAAAATACTAATTTCAGGAAAGTGAACTGTTTCCTTTAATTATGCACCGGGTGAGTGTAGGTCTTGTGTGGTTAAAAAACATTCTTATGCCTTATTTTTTCATTTGAATGCTAAAATTCATTGAAAAGATGAAGTTGTCTGATTTTATGACCATATATGGTCATCGCCCCGCCCACTCCAGCCGCTGATTGGCTAATCCAATTTTTGTTTGGCTCCTCGTAGTTTCCCCAACTGATACTTGCCCCAGACTCCGCACCAGGGAGACACCGGTTGGTCACGTGACTCGGAAACAAAAATCAGCTGATAGAGTGGCGGAATCGCCGTAATCAAACACGAATAATTCCGGACGATAGAGCGGCAGTATAGGAGTTTTCTTCACAACAGGCAAACATTGCAATGTTTTATCATTCTATGATCAAGAAACGTTCATAAATCATACATTTCTTCGATGATTACTGCCGCAACCGACACGCACATATCGTAGCCAGCGCATAAAGCTGTGCTTTGCGATATTAAATGTAAAGAAAAGCATTCTATATCTTGTTTCAGCCTTCTACTTACGCTTTTATAATTACGACAGCGACACCATACGGCCTATCGACGCTATGCAACTCCATGGAGTGTCCGGTCGCACTCTGCCGAGTGTGCCGAGATCAGAGACCATCCGGGGCACGTCCAGCTGCACAGCCCAGTGTCCAGCTGCACTGCCCGGTCGCTGGGAGGGCGACACCTAGCGCCGCTCTGGCCGCTCGCTTCCACGCACAACTTAGCTACCTGGCTAGTGGCTACGCTTGTGGGAGGGGGAAGGAGGAAACCAACAACAGTCTGATGAGCCAATGGAGTCAGCGAGCCGCGCCAATCAGAGCCCTTCCGCGCGCAGACGGGAGCTAGAGCTATTCATCTCCTTTCCTGTTTTCGCTGGTCCGCCAGTCACCAGCATCGTTCCGTGCTCTCCATCGTCGCGATTCGGCTGTGTTGTCCTGTGTGCGTCAGCAACAACAGAGAGCGAGAGAGAGAGAGAGAGAGAGAGAGAGAGAGAGAGAGAGAGAGAGAGAGAGAGAGAGAGAGAGAGAGAGAGAGAGAGAGAGAGAGAGAGAGTCTCGGATCACGCCAGGCAGCCACATGGGTATCTATTGTTTATTTACTTTCCAGTGATCGCAAGCGTTTAGTTGTTTGGAACCGGGTGTGATCAGTATTTGACGCATTTCTGTGATCTGTATGATAAAACTGAAAAAATAGTGAAATATATCCACTTTAATTCACATATCGCTTTTGATTCATGGTACGGCTGCTTGATTTTGCCACAGCGTACATAGTACATACCTACACAGCCGATCTCGGCATGTTTCTGTTCCAGAACAGCAGCTGCAGTGGACACCGAAAATGCATTCATGTTCTGACAACTTATTCCAAAGATACACATATTTTACGACGAACGTTCCAGAGAAAGTATTTTCTCGCTCACAGATGTTCAGCAAGAAGCGCGCGATTGATTGCAACTAGCACGCTCACGATTTCTAATATAGCGCTGGCCAAAACCTGCCCCTTACATCCAAATATAATAATCTTAATTCCAATCTCTGTCCTATTTATTATTTATTAGCGCATCGAGAGTGAATGATACCACGGCATAGCCGTCATATAACATAGCACAAATTGCGAGACGACGTCGAGATCCGTATCGGCGTATCATTCACAGATCCGGGTGTCTCGCCTCCACTCTCAATCAACCCTGACACACCATCAACCGAACCACGTCGGCTCCAATCATCTTGAGTTCCGTACTGAAATCTGATGGCCGGCCCGTCAGTTGATCATATCTGTCTGCGCGCACTACACCCGAGCTCAGCCTTAAGTGCACTGTGCGGCCTTCTCCAGATGACGCCTCTGAGCATGGCGCTTATCCTGCACCTGGATGTTTAGAGCCTCTTGTTCGTGTACGACCATTAGCATTTCAGGAGTCGGATGTTCTCGGCGGAGGCGGCGCTGGTCACCGTGGAGCCGTCAGACGACACCGTCAGCTCGAGCGCCCGCGACTAATGACCTGCAAAACAGCGAGTCGCGGCACGTCACGACGAGTGACGACCGTCACGTTTCAGTCACGAAGGCCGTTATAGAACAGTCACGGCGACTGTCATATAGCAGTCACGGCTGCCGTCACAGGTCACGACGGTCGCGTAAAATGCCACTACCAGCCACGGCGACCACGAATCATACCTCATAACGTTCCCTGTCGCACACTCATCCATAATAACAGTACATTCGCCTGTATAATACACATTACACATTTCTCACTCAGCATTTCTCACTCACTCGAAGCTCAAGCCTGAGACCATCAAGCGTCACGACACTTGCAACGGCACCTGCATAAGCAGACATCCCATCCCGGCAACACATAAAGTTCCCCCAAGCAACCCACCTAGGGTCACTGACCTAGTAACGAAGCGGGACACAGCTGACCTGTGGATGCGTTGATTGACACAATTACTGACCTGGACATAATGTGATCGTTTCTGATCAATGTCGATACGCGCGCCGGCGTATCGACGCCGTCGGCGAACGGGACGCGGTCGGCTGGCAGGGCGCCGTCGGCGGGCGGGCCGGCGTCGGTCGGCGAGCCTCGTTCGGCTACCGGATCACCTTCGGCCGGCGAGCGACCGTCGGTCGTCGGGCCACCATCGGCGGGCAGAACGCCGTTGGCTGGCGGAAGCCCGTTGGCTGGCGGAACGCCGCCGGCTGGCGGGGAGCACTGTCGATGAGCAGGCCATCGTTGGCAGTCCCATCGTGGTCGCGTGGCGCTCTGAAACACAGTAAAGAGTTAATGACTCATTAGGGACCATATTATTTTCAAGTCCTATGCTGAATATCCCTAAGGTAATCTATTTAACTCACCAAGAAATATTCAGAGCATTCACTGGAAGCATAGTAATGCAAGTAGGCCTTTAACTGCAATGCTATATTTTTTCCTTATGACACAATATGCCATGCCATTCAAACAGCCCATTATGGTCAAACAGCAGACTGAGTGGAGCATAAAGCAATTAATCTGGTTGTAACTTGTAACACCGAAGGATTGTACAGTGAAGGATAGGTGGTGCCTGACGGCCTTCAATGACAGGTTCAGGCTCTGGAGCTGGTCCTGGATCTGACTCAGCTGACTGCCTGAGGGTGGAGGGCAGAGGAGGACGCAGGTCGGGTTATATTGGCAGATGTTGAACAGTGATTGGTCACAACCATTTACCTATATATTGATAAATTCACATATTGATGGGAAATGCATGTATGGGACCACGCCTCCATCAGACGGCCAAGGAGGTCGCCCCTGGGCCCGCCTCGGCTCTCGGACCACAGCGACAACCGGCCCCGATCGACCTGTGGTCGACCGGTGACCGGTCACAGTCATCACGCCACTCACCGAGGACGAGGGGACGCCATTATCACCTATCAGGGGGCAGGTAACACAATTGGCATTATATCACTGCCCTACAGAGTCGGTGGGATGCACAACTGACCTGGAGATGACGTGATTGTTTCTGGACAATGTCTGTATGCGCGCCTCGTAGCTGGTGATAACACGCTGCCATTTCTGCTGGGTGACGTCCGGCCCACAGCTGAATCGAACCGCGCTATCTCCAGAACCACCGCCAGATACAACCTGGTGGATAGGATGATAACTCAAGAACCACACAACACACAATGAAAACAAAGGCGACAGCAGCGCATGATGACGATCTTATATCATTTGGCTTATTCAATGTCACCACAGGTTGCAAACACTACATTTTACTAGTCAGACTCCCATGGTGGGCTGATGTGCCTAGCTGTACTCTGAATGTAAGACTTTCCAAATGTAACTTAAAGGAAAAGTTCACTTTTTAACATGGGTTTTCAACTGGAATAGCAGTTCCGTAGCTTGGGCTGAGACGAGCATAAATCAGGAGCTTTTACAGCCCAACGATCACCCTAGGCAAAGATATTCTATTTCTCGTCCCGAAAAAGGTGTCTTGCGTTGAGGATGTGTGCCTTGCATATATTTCCATCCAGTATGAAAAGAGCATGGGTCCCGAAAATTCTTCAGAAACTAGAGAAATTATCTACGAGAACTCTAGAGAAATTCTCGTACTGATCAATTAGGACATTCAGGGGAACATTATCAGATCGAGCAGATCGCCCAAATGCCGGTGGCTGCGATAATTTCTCTGTTTCTGAAGAATTTTCGGGACCCATGCTCTTTTCATACTGGATCGCGTGTGCCTTACAGAAACTGAAAAGTTCTTCCTATATCAAAATATAGAAAATAATATTTTGTTATAAAAAGGTTTTATTTTCTTTGCTGATTATTTTGAACATAAAAAATCATAAATCCGTTGCAAAAAAAATAATTTCGTGAAAGTGAACTATTTCCTTTAAGTAAATGTAAAAAATCAACAAATAACTTGTCTAGAAATAATGTTGCTAGTTTTTTCATCCTTTGGAAGAATGTTGCTAGTCTAAAACCAGCTCGAGCTCCCCCCCCCCCCCCCCACCAAAAAGGCACCCAGGAGCACATGAACACCAATGCACAATCACCTGCACAACACAGCACATGCTCAAGGATGCCTGGTGCATGGTGGGGTTTGTAGGTCTACACAGCAATTCACGCTTAGCATGGCTCTGGCTCAATTCTTCCACATTTATGCAGGGCATACTGGTACACTGGAGGGTACACATTTCCAGATTGGTTGATATAGAATGATGCGGATTAGTCGAACTAAGTGATGCATTTTGCTTGCCTTTTTGCCAAGTATTGTAGTCTGTTTCATACCCACGTCTTCGTCTCCGCGTCAGCATGACACTGCTTTGCTTCGCATACTCCATGCAGCATCGGCAAATGAACCTCGATTGCTTTGAAGAATATAAAAAATGTGCAGCATCCATTCGGACACAGACCTGCTTTCTTGAATGCAAATCAAGGCTACGAACGAGCCAGGACTTGAGGCAAACTTTGCCCTGCCGTGTTGCCCATAACTGTGGCATGAAAACAAAATAACACTGTTTCCTGGTGGCATTGTGATTCCAAATTTCCAACCCCTGCAAAGATCTCAAAAGAGCACAAGAAAAAGGAAACTACAAAAACGCCAACACCCCATACAATCTCTACACAACTCTTTTATGTTATGCACTTCACAACTTCTACCATCAACAAGCTGCACAATTTTAAATTGAATTTTAACCGAATTCCAATGTGCCTAATCGGACTAATCAAAACAAATTCAAAAATCAGGGATGTTCTCCGTCAGCAGCGAACATGCCGTTAAACCAATCAAATGAGAGCGCTGGCGTTCGCTAGCGATAGCAGTACAGTAAACTGTGCGCAGCTGCAGGTGATAATCATGGTCTGCAGTTTTTAACATCGAATTTCGTACTGAGCCCCAATTTATTTTGTATAAAACCTTACACCAGCAGATAGAAAATTTAATTTTGTATATTATTGTACTATAAATAGATGCCGACTCGGTTTTATTTCTTAGTAATATTCCATTGATTGTTACAGTGTGACTTTTGGCAGCAAGGAAGCTCTCACATTCTAGACCAAAAAAATATATCTTATGACACCGAAACTGCAATAAAACATGCTTATCGGGAAAGAAAATTTAATTTTTATTATGATGAACACCTTTTATGAGCCCATCTGCGGTAGGTTTACCAACTATGAATGTTTTTGTTCAAGACTGTTTGGTACCCAAAACTTTAAATTTCAACTTTGGAAGGAAAATTGACAATGAGCCCCAATTAGCTGAGCTTTAACACTTTTATATGTTATAGTCTGTGCATTTTTGCACATTTTGGTGGTTTATTTAGATGCCGACTCGGTCTTGTTTTTAAACAATATTAAATTTAGTGGAACAGGGTGACAAAGAACACCAATGGTGGTGATGTATTCAACATGGATTAATTCTAGTTTTGAGCATTAGTAAATGCAAAAAACACATAATATATGAAAAACCATTCAATTTTGATATTGACTGCTACTGATTTGAAACCCACACCACTGGTATTATTCGAGAATTCGTGGTATAACTTTGGCAGGTCCGGCGGGATGACAACTTTGGGAGCATGGTGGTTTCGAAATTCGAAGAAGCAATATTAGGGACACGCCTAAGAGCTGGACTTTTTGATGACGTCTTCGGGTGACGTCATGTCGTGTGTGACGTTTCGTGAGCAGGTAAGGAAAAGTCACCACCGCTGGCGAACATTGGTGCGGTAAATGGCAAACACAAATACTGCGCAGAAAAGACAAATGTGTAACTTTAGACCACGTTAGACAACATTCGTTCGGACGACAATAGTCAAGGCGAATCAAGAAGTTCTTCATGCGATTGTTAGTTAGGTATCTGTCGTGCTATTTTAGTATGATTGTTATTAGCAGTTGATTTGTGAAATGTATTATGAAAATCAATGTTTATTGGACGCAGATTCAGTTTATTTTCAGATGTACCTAGGTACTCTTACACTTCACTCATCTCAAGTTGTTCAAACACCCTTGACAAAGTCGATTAAGATGAAACGTTGGGTATAATTTATACTGTGTTTTCTCTGCATTATTAACATATTCATCATATATACAATATAAGGACCACATGTTTTTTACAGGGAGACATGTCAGACAGCCCAGTAGGATGAGGCTTCGCCAAGCGTCATTTTTAGCAAAGCTTTTCTTGCCTCAAAGTTATAATGACAACACTCACTGGGAAAATGGTGATATGATATTATTTTAATGGCCATTGAAAATTCTGTATGTCAGATTTGATATTCCGAACAGCTGTTTGGCAAGATTTTTTCAGTACCTTAGTAATCCACTTTGCTAGAGTACTTTTGTGCGCTTTTACGTGAATGCATCCATTTCCCCCTGAAATAAACTTTTATAGTGATATCAAGCATCTTTTTCATTGTGTTCAAACTTTGAATTTCAGTGCCAAATGCTGGCTCTGTTCAACCTTGGACCCCCATTTACAACAACCAGAATCAAGATTCTTTGTCTTCTTTTAAGAACTGCCGGAATAACTTTCCTATCTTACTTCCCGTAACCTGAAACTTGTGTTTTCTCCACCAGGGTGCAAAATTGGTATAATGGTGGTCAAATTTGATTACCATGACATCATCACCGTAGTCATACTTAGCAAAGCTGTAGTCAAAAACAGCATTGCTAAAAATGACCACTCTTGACCAACCAAACCTCACCCCACTGAGTTCAAACACCCTTGTCAAAAGTCCTTACACTTGACTCCCAGCTGTTGTGTCTTTGCTATGCAATGTTAAACATATAAAACATCTTACTATTCATGAATGCGCCATGACTCATGTAATCTTTTCACAGCCAAGACGCTACTAAGGTACTGGGAATGTGGGGAGTGCAGCAGCATCAGTGCAGCACCGATGGTCGGATGCGACGGCTGCGATAAATGGTACCACTTCCGTTGTGCGGGGCTGACTAAGGAGCCAGGTAAGCGCAAATGTTTTCTGTCTCAGTATTTTTGTTGCAGCTATAGTGATCAATGAAATATTTTCCGCACTGTTCAGCCAAACATGTATTTCAAACAATCAGAATCTGCTTCCCAACCAAGGGCGTCACCACAGGGGGGGGGGGACAGAGGGGATCTCGTCCCCTCCACTTTTTAAAATTTTAACATTACGCCCATGGCGTTGCATGGAAAGAATCGACTTGAAATGGTCCTTGTCCCCTCCAAAATGGTCAATGTCCCCTCCAGTTGTCGCACCGTGGCGTCGCCCCTGTTCCCAACTACACAAATTTAGTCAAACAATGTGCCAATATGGAATTTTCAGGTTGAGTTGAATGAAATAGGAACAATGATAATTGTAGATTACGTATACCTGCAAGAGAGGAAAACAGAATACATTGTATTGCTTGTCCTTCACCGATACTGTTATTTTTCCATTTCTAGAAACACCGACATGGCGATGCAGGTGGTGCTGCCTGGTGAGGCCGCGGTCTCCGGAATCGCCTGCAGACGAAGTCACCTGACGTCCATCTGCACATCACTTGCAGCAGTGAGGCCTGCTGACAGCGTCTGGCAGTGTCGGCAACGTGCCAGACAGCTATCTGGAGTCCTGCTCACCGCAGGTCGCCGACAGGAGGGGCGACGCATCGTCTCCGAGGTCGCCTCAGCAGCAGTGAGACCCCACTGGCCGTCTTCTTAGGCTTCAACTAGATTGCGAACAACCTATGCTGAGACAACGCCCATGACGTGTGATCCGGTACCGCTACCGCACTGCGTGCCTGTGCCCGCCGTGAGCCGCTAGTGCATGGGTTCCGACGACCATGAGAATATGTGTTTATGTTGCTTTTACTATTGTTTATACGTTGAAGTGACGAATTGTTTATTTTTCGCAAGCCTCCGCTGTCCGGTTGCCTGCAGCTCCATGCAACGCTAGCTGTACTGTTGTTTTAATGTTGTCTCTCCGCTCAGCTCTACTGTTGCCTCTCCGCTCATAACAACCTATGCTGAGACAACGCCCATGACGTGTGATCCGGTACCGCTACCGCACTGCGTGCCTGTGCCCGCCGTGAGCCGCTAGTGCATGGGTTCGACCATGAGAATATGTGTTTATGCTGCTTTTGATACTGTTGTTTATACGTTGAAGTGACGAATTGTTTATTTTTCGCAAGCCTCCGCTGTCCGGTTGCCTGCAGCTCCATGCAACGCTAGCTGTACTGTTGTTTTAATGTTGTCTCTCCGCTCAGCTCTGCTGTTGCCTCTCCGCTCATAACAACCTATGCTGAGACAACGCCCATGACGTGTGATCCGGTACCGCTACCGCACTGCGTGCCTGTGCCCGCCGTGAGCCGCTAGTGCATGGGTTCGACCATGAGAATATGTGTTTATGCTGCTTTTGATACTATTGTTTATACGTTGAAGTGACGAATTGTTTATTTTTCGCAAGCCTCCGCTGCCCGGTTGCCTGCAGCTCCATGCAACGCCAGCTGTACTGTTGCTTTAATGTTGTCTCTCCGCTCAGCTGTACTGTTGCCTCTCCGCTCATATATGACACCCTCTATATGAATGGCACTACTGATTGTCACACCCACTGTCCGTATTGTCCGTAGTGGTGTCTGAGCAGTAATCGCCACGCACTTTCAGAATGTGGATCGCTCATGATTGTTCAATACAATACAATACAATACGCCCATGTTCATACAGCGTGCAGAATCCAGATTCTATTGAGGAGAGTTGAGCCAAGTCACCATAGGCTCGGGAAGAGAGCAACGTGGAGGCCCACTGCCCCTTCCCCGGCCCCCACTGGGGGCGCCAGCGCCCAGCCACTCAACTTTTGACTGGATGTCAAGAGCGTCGCCACGAGGGGAACGAGTCGCCGGCCAGCCAAGGTAGCCAACGGCGTGTGAAGGTTGCCTGACCTCGAGGAAACTGAGATGGCACCAACGGAGGTTTGTTAAGTAGGCGACCAAAATTCGAGCGGCAGCAATCTGGGCACCTTCACAGATAGCAGTGCCGCGTATCAGGGGCCAGGGCGCCTTCGACGTTTAGCTGGGCGCCGATCATCAGGACGCCGGGGGAATATGACCCAATATCCCCCGTAAATATGTGCCTCGGAAGGGAGACCCAACCATAAAACTGAAAGCTCGCCGTATTTTATCCACTATTTTTCGAGCAGGTCCAGTAGATTTCCGTCCTCAAAAGTGCGGGGATATTCCCCAGTGTTTGAGGTGGATGGGACTATAGTAGCGTTTACACCGACAGGAGATTCCCATTGCCGGCTGTGGGAAACTGCTGTCGGTGTAAACGCCATTCATATTTCCTGCGTCACCCCTGTGGGGACGCCCTTACTCCATGGTGCCGAGCTTATCAATTTGGATATCAATGGAATCAAAATCTCTTATCGATCGATGAAGAACTAAATTACCCCGACCCGGAGAGCGTCTTTGGAATCAAAGCAGTAGCACATGACGCAAGACTTCAGGCAAATAAATCGTTCTTGTCTGAAATAAAACATTTGTGTATTGATAAGCACGTTTTATAAGCAATGGTAGCAAGATTTTCCACGTATTTGGTGAAAGTGATAATTTAGTAGCAGATACTTACCGTCGCATTTCGTTTTTTTAATTAATAATTTATATTGTCAGAACTAGCAACATATCTCTTTACTCAACAAAAATTACAAAAGTGAAAAGGAAATGATAAATTGCCTATATTTTGGTAAAACTATAAATTAATTCAGCACACATTTTTTTTACAGCGTTGAAGTCCAGCTCCAAAGGACAGCTGACGATCGTAGCCGAGCAGGCTCTTTGGTACTTCTTCACTATTTCTTAGAAGTACCCGTTAGTACCGATCATGTCTCACATAATAAGCTATTGGAACAAAAATATGCATGTTCTTCTAATCATTCTCCTTTCACACTTTAAATAAATACTTTTGAAATGCATTTACTAATTAATTTCACAAAAACGGCTTGAAATTTTACAACGTCAAAATACTTATTCCAATTTCCACCGTGAAACCACCACTATGTTACTTGCTTACAGAACCGTGCGCACAGTGCGCGCAGTTTTATCGTGACGTCAGAGGGTGCTTCCTTAGTGGCGCCCCCTGGCGGGGAACGCGTGCAAAAAGTCCAGCTCTTAGGCATGTCCAATATTAGGCTATGATAATAGTTTTTCACTATTAATTTTTATTTTTAAGGATGAAAACACATTTTCGTTACTAAAGAATCCCTACAACCTAAGATTGATTATTTTCGAAATGGCGTGGCCGGCTTCAAAATTATCTTCGCAAATACTTTACAGAAATACACCAGTCCTGCCCTGAATACATTTCTGGATAATATATATGTAAATAATAAAACATATAAAAATATGAGGCCTAGTTCCCTTTTTTGGAATGAAAAGGCCAGCTGAAAATAGTGGTCAAAATACCTTAGTGTTGTGGCGGCGAACCGGTTTTACCTAGTTCTCTATATACCGTGCTCCGCACGCTCCGCTCCGCGCCACGTCAACATGCCGACCACCAAAACAATCGAGCCACGAAAGTGCATGTTCAGTACGTTCAGTGCATGATGCTTTTTCTGCTCTCATAATTTTCATAGCTCGTAGAAGGTGAAATATTCTTATCATTTACGGTCC